GTGGGTGGATTGCCTGAGCTCAGGAGTTTGAGACCAGCCTGGGTAACAAGGTGAAACCCTGTCTTTACTAAAAATACAAAAATTAGCTGGGGGTGATGGCGTGTGCCTGTAATCCCAGCTACTTGGGAGGCTGAGGCAGGAGAATTGCTTGAACCTGGGAGGTGGAGGTTACAGTGAGCCGAGATTGCACACTGCACTCCAGCCTGGGCGACAGGGCAAGACTGTCTCAAAAAACAACAAAAAAAAATTTGTTTAAGAGCTACTGAGTTTTAAGGTAAATGCTTGATGCCTCTATAAACAGACTTGTTTCATTTGGTCAGTGATATCGCCATGGTCTTCACAGTAGGACTGTAAATATCAACAAATATTGACTCAATTATATGTTCATCAGCTGTCTTAAGAAATAGAAACTCAACACTTTTTCATTAAAAATACATTTTTAAAACCTTACTGCTTCTGAGTTTGTTACAAAATAGAAGTGTTACCAAACAACAAAAAAGGACTTATACCATATAATAAATGATAAAGCTTTTGCAGCAAGAACATGTGAACTACTCTCTATGTTGAACTTATCCCCTATTTTCTACGCATATTTCATATACACCTACCCCATCACTTTCCACATTTCCCTCTGATTTCCCAAATGGGCAGCCTGGCAGCTTCATGAATCTTGCAGTATACGGCATGGGCCATAAGACACCTGGCTAGAACACCAAGGACAAGCCAGCAGAGGCAGGACAGGCAGCAGAGGAGAAAACACACCAGTATGAGAGAAAATGCAAACACCACATTATGGGGTGCTTATGGGTGTCCTGAAAAAAGCACGCCATCTTATACAAGAATGGAAACACTTGAGAACAAAGCACAACTGTTGCCAATAATCTTGTTATAAATCTACACTTAAGTGATGTGTGATAGGCTACAGAATGCCTAACTGGAAGGAAAGAAAATATTTCCTTTTAGCTATAATTTTGCCATTTTAATTAAACCATAAATGTGTTTCTTTTGCTCAAATATGTTTATGTTATAGTTTCCATCTTATACTGAGAATGTATACATATCTGCAGATTGAAAAAAGCCTAATGACTAATTGCTATTTCCTAAGATAACTTGTAACATAATATTCATTTGATTCCAAATTTTCATAATGATTAAAACTTAGGAATAAATACGTATGATTTCTTCATGTTGAAAGATTGTCTCAAAAAAAAAAAAAAAAAACCAGAGTCTCACCATGTCACCTAGGCTGAAGTGCAGAGGCACAACCTAGGGTCACTGCAACCTTCACCTCTTGGGTTCAAGCGATTCTTCTGTCTCACCCTCCCGAGTAGGTGGGACTACAGCCACCAAGCCTGGCTAACTTTCTTTGTTTCTGTATTTTTAGTAGAGACAGGGTTTCACCATGTTGGTCAGGCTGGTCTCAAACTCCTGAGCTCAACTGATCCACCCACCTCAGTCTTCCAAAGTATTGGGATTACAGGCATAAAGCCACTGCACCTGGCTAAGATCATTTCTTTTTATATTAGTTGAGGGTTATAAAACAAAGTGAATGCTTATTAAAAACATAGAAAAAATAAAGTCATTAAAGCACACAGAAGCTGAAGATTGTGATTTTGCAGAAATGTAAGTCATAATGGGAATGAATATTACTAACTTCCTAGATATACCAACATACCAATGCTTACAGATGTCTTACTAATTCATGCTGTGCGTTAGACACTGTACTCTGTGTGTTTATGTAATAAATCCTCATCACAGCTTTATGCAGTGGCATTATAATCTTCACATTATAGATGAGAAAATAAAGAGAGGTCCAGTTTTTCTGCTGAAGGCCACACAGTGGAAAAATGATGGTGGAGCTAGGATTTATACTTGGTGTGACTCTTAAGGTTAGTAAGTGTTCTTAATTCCTACAGTAAAAAGGCATGAGATCCCTTAAGGGATTCGTAGATCTCAACATTCTAAATTGTATTTATAATTAGAGCTCTTAAAAACCAAATTAATGAAGAAAATAAATGCTTTTATCTAGCCTGAATGTCTACCTCTAAAGTAGGTGCCATAAAGGGCTAATTATTAGTTAAAATTGGCCCCTGTATTAGCAAGACATATAGCTCCTCCTAGACTGAAACTTAAAGAGGTTGTGATGCTGAAATAACCTGAAACAGATGTTTTATTCTTTCCTTCAGAAAGTTATCCTAAAAACAATTCACAGAAGAATCATCTACAAATGACGTAACATGAAAAAGTTTCTCTCAGTAGTAAAGAAAGGTAAATTTAAGCAAACCTATCAAATGCGTAGAGTTGAAAAAACTGTAATAAAAATTATAACGTGTGACCTGTTTTAAGGTCCATTCTCCTCCCTCTGCCTTCCCCTGCTCCTAGAAGTGCATGCTCAGCCGCTCAGGCACTGGATCCCATCCTTTCTTAGGGCCTGGATACAGCAGACAAGCGGTTCTCCTCTCTCCTCCGTCATGCCAAATTCCTCCTTTTCATTTGATTTTTCTTGTTAGTGAGATCAAACATTCTAGATACAAAAAAATTCTAATTTCTATCTTAAAAAAATTCCTTGCTTGATCCCCGATATCCTTTCTTTCAGTTACCACCCCATTTCTATGCTCTCCTTATTAGCCAAACTGCTCGACAGAATGCTCTCAACTAGTTGTCTTCAAGTTATCTCCTCCCATTCTCTCAAGAGCCCCTCCAGGGAAGCTGCCCTTGACTTCTGCAGTCATCAGGCCTCATCGACTTCACCAATGAGAAGCAGCTGACACAGCTGATCTATCTATCTTCCCCGGATTCTTACACTCTTACATCACTGGCTGTTCCTTTACCAGATGCTCACCTTCCCGAAGTCCAAGCATCTGAGTATTCTAGGGTTCAGTCCCCTTTCCCTTCTCTACTTAAACTCACTCCCTAGGAGATTTCATGAAACTAAATGTTCTCTATACCAGTGATGCTCAACTTCTCCCCTAAACTCCAGATTTGGATACTGAGGTACTAACTTGATATCTTCACTTAGAGTCTAATAATTGTGTGAAATTTAACAGGTCCTAAACTCTAACTTGATCCACCATCCGTCTTCCCCACCTCAGTAATGACAACTCCATCCTCTAGCTGCTCAAGCCAGAAAGCCTAGAATGTTCTCTCTCATACTCCACATCCAATCCGACAACAAATCCTGTTGGCTCTCTCTGCCAAATATATATCTGACCTTCTCTCAACACCTCCTTGAATACCACCTTGGACCAGGCCACTGTCATTTCTTACCTGGATTATAGCTAGAGTTGCAATAGTATCCTAACTAGTCTCTTTGTTTCCATCCTGCCCTCACTAAAGTCTAAGAGGAATCCTTTCAAAAACGAAGATTTATGCAGTTACCTGGTGCCACAGAGAACCTTTAAAACACATACACAAACAGTGGAGCACTTCCATTTTTTAAATGAAATCTTATAGAAAATGCCCCCTAAAGTGAAAATACATAAAAGTGGAGCTGGGAGTGCAACAGCGGTCCAATGGCCAACTCAGTACTCCCTCCCTCATGCCTACAAGGTGCTTTGGAGAATGTAAAGGGATTGAAAACTCACTGCTCTGGAACAACTTATGAAGCAATTTCAGTTTTCTTAAAGGTTTCAAAGAAATAGCATTCTTAAAGAAATTAGGGATCATGAAAGCCTGCAGTCTAGTCACCCCTTAGTTTGCTCTAGAAACTTGTGTCTCCCGCACAGAGTCCTATTAAAAACCTTGGCAGAACAGCAAACAACTATGAGATCTCAATCAACAAGACAATTTCTTCTTTGGGGATGCTTTACTATGCTTTTATGCAAGTTATCCTAGTATTTTCTTCTGTTGATACTCATCTTTACTACTTTTCCACTACAACAAAATTTTTAAAATAATATTATGTTCCTCCTGATTATAGGTTTGATATTGGGAACTATCTACTACCTATCACTGTCAACAGAATACAATGTTCTTAACTGGGAATTAAATGCACTCATGATTTAAGGGAGAGATATATATTTGGGGAACAGGGAATAAAACAAGGAATAGTTTTCAAAAATAGTCTAAATACTATGGACCTCAGGAAGATATTATTATTATTATTATTATTATTATTGTTTTTTGAGATGGAGTCTTGCTCTGTTGCCCAGGCTGGAATATGGTGGCACGATCTCAGCTCACTGCAAGCTCTGCCTCCAGGGTTCACGTCATTCTCCTGCCTCAGCCTCCCGAGTAGCTGGGACTACAGGCGCCCGCCACCACGCCCAGCTAATTTTTTGTATTTTTAGTACAGACAGGGTTTCACCATGTTAGCCAGGATGGTCTAGATTTCCTGACCTTGTGATTCGCCCGCCTTGGCCTCCCAAAGTGCTGGGATTACAGGTGTGAGCCACTGCACCTGGCTGAAAATACTATTTTGATTGGTCTCAGTAGACTTGATTCCTAGTCATGTGTGTCACTGCTGACTCCCCTTCATTAAACAGGGGTTAATACTTTCCCTCTACCTCACAGGGTGACCAACTGTCCTGGTTTACTCCAGACTTTGCTGATTTTAGCACTGCAAGTCCTGGTTTAGCAAATTGGGATGGATAGTTAGCTTACTCCTATGTATCTCAGGGATACTATCTAATGTGAGGCAATAATATTTCATATAGTTTATTAAAAAGAAATTCAAAGAATTATTACACTGCTTATTTTATGGCTATATTAATTGATCACTGGTTCTGATATGAGAAATGGTTCAGATGCAACAAATACTTTTTTTTTCTCTTTTTAACACACACATTTTAAGTCATGCTTTACATGCTTATTGTTTCACTTCCCAATTATGAACCCTTTGAAAATAAAACGGTTACACTATTAGAAGTAAACTCAGTATTAGTCCCACAGATATATTACAGGGTAAAACCAACCTTTACATACTGAGTCTTGTTTTGTATGATTCTAAACATATTTACATTGTTCATTTCCTCAATTGTTTTGCATTTTTAGTAACTTACCTATAACAGAGACTTTAAGTAATTCGATTTTATCCTCAAGGCCTGCAGCTTTCAGATTGTCCCAAGTACCTAGTAACTGTGAGTCGCTGACATCAGCACCTACATAATACACATCCTATGGGGAAAGAAAGAATATTTTAAGCATAAATAAAATTATTACACATTTTATGTAGTTAAGAAAATCAACTTGCATTTTCTCAAATGATGGAAGTGAAATTAGTAGATTTTAAATTAAGGCCAAAACACATTTAGGGTATTCTTTTAAAATGATAATATCAACAAATGTAAAGTTTATGTTAAAATTTTAAAAATCTGTGAATATTTTACAATGACAAATGTGTAAAGAATTTGAGGATTAGTATAATCTAGGTCATGACTAATGATTAGAATTCTGTCATATTTTCCTAAATTCATAGTATTTAAATAAATAACATAGCAATTTAATCCTTCACAATCTATTTTGAGTATAGTGAATAACTCACATAATTAAAAAGAATAATCCCAAAATAGACACTCTACTTGTAAATAATTGGTGATTATACTATATATACTGATTAAAGTAGATAAATTGCTTGCTTTACCAAACTTCAGAACTTACTGGCCATTCTTTAGCAGCTTCCAAAAGTATTGTTCCAAGTCCGCACATTGGATCTAAAACAAATGCACCAGCCTGCAGACAGAAATATTAATTTGGTATTATTAAGACTACTATAGTAGGTATTATAAAAGAAACCTAAACTTGAGGAATCAGTATTTCAAGAGGAAAGGTTACTTTTTACACTTTATTAAGAATTTCAGATACTTAAAGCCCTAATGCAGGAGTGTGTTCGGCAGGTTTATAAATTAGGAAGAAGGCCATTCTGGCCAAAGCCCAGGAAAAGGTAGTGAAAGCCCCAGAGAGGGAACAAGGGGATTCTGTGAAGATGGACTGGGTTATGCTGCATGTTGTAACAACCCCAAATCCCAGGGGTTTAAAACAAGTAGCTCACACTGTATGCCCACATTAGGGCACCTGGGGCCTCTGCTCCTCACTCTGGAACCCAAACTGATGAGCAATCATCATCTTGAGTGCTGCCATCACTGTGGCAGAGGGAAAGAAAGCATGACAAATTATCCGCTGGCTCAGAAAGGTGCCACCTGAAAGCGATGCACATCACTTCCACCAGTATTAACTGTTAGTCACATGGCACACAGTGTCAAGGGGCCAGGAAAGTATAATCCTATCTGTACCTGGGAGAAAAACAGGAAATTGGGAGAAAAAACGACTTACTCCCACTCTGAAAATCACAGCATGCCAGATCTCATAGGTGGTGTAAGGATTCTGGTTCTATTCTGAAGGATGGGAAACTATTGGAGGGTTTGAGGACAGGAGTCCTATGACATTACATTTCAAAGGGATCATTTTGGCTATTCTGCAGAGGACAGACCATAGAAGGGTAAGAGCGCTAGAGAGTCCAGTCAAGAGATGATGGTGGCTTGAGGTAAGAGTGGAATTGGTGGATGTGGTAAGAAATGGTTGGATTCTAGACATATTTTAAAAGGTGGAGCCAAAAATGGATGGGATGTGGAATGTTAATGAAAGACAACAGTCTGGAATGCCTAAAATTTTTGAGCTGAGCAACTGGAAGAACAGAGTTGCCTGTTACTGACATGGGAAGAGTTGGGGAGAAGACACTTTGGGGGAGACAACAGTATAGTTCTGGCCTTGTTAATTTTGAGATACCTCTTAGACCTCTAAGTGTGAATGTCAAGTGAGTCACTGGACATGAGTCTACAGTTCAAGGGAGAGGTTCAGGCTACAGATAGGAATTTAGGAACAGTCAGTGCCAGTCAGCTTATAAATGATATTTAAAGCATCAGAACTGGATGTGATCATCTAGAAAGCAAGAGAAGTTTAACAAGAGAAGTCTATGAATTGGCCCCTGGTGATCTCTGAAGTTCACATGTTTGGAAGAGGAAGATCAGCCACACACACTGAGAAGCAGCTCATTCCGATAACAGGAGCAGAACCTAGCGTAGTGGTCCTGAAACAAAGTGAAGAAACTGCTTCAAGAAGGAGAGTGATCAGTGTTGAAGTGACAGGCGGGTAAGTGAGACGAGCAGTTTCAGTGGAGTGTTGGTGATGAAAGCCCCATGGAGGCTGCTATATGAGAGAATGGGAAGAAAGGAGGTAGAATACAGCCAATGTAGATAATTATTTTAAAGACTTTTTCTGTAAAGGGAAGCAGAAAAGGGGGTGGTGGCTGAAGGGATGTATGGCTTCAGCGGGGGGTTTTCATTTTTTTAAGTTGAAAGATATTTCGGCAGGTGTACATGCTGATGGGGATGACCCAGTAGAAGGAAAAATTCCTAAGTCTATAAGAGGGAACGGAATCCGGCACACAAGCATTAGCGTGGAACAAGGACAGTTCCCTTATTGTAACAACAATAAGGCAGAGTATGTAGGCATAGATTCTGGCATGTTGGTAGACTTGGTGAGGAGAACATGTAGAAGTTCTCTTCTGATTCTATTATTTAAGTCAAATAAGAAGGAAGGGAGCTTGAGAATGGCGTGAACCTGGGAGGCGGAGCTTGCAGTGAGCAGAGATCGCACCACTGCAGTCCAGCTTGGGCGATAGAGCAAGACTCCGTCTCAAA